CAGTGACCTTTGATGTGTATCACCAGTGATCAGTCAAGTAGAAACAGTCAAAATATTTTATCAGTTTTTCTCAATTTTTGCATGATATTTTCATACACGACATCTGTTGTTCAAACTCAGGGAAGACTTTATACTGATGAACAAGGTGACCAAGTTTGATGAAGTTTGGAATAGAATTAGTAAAGTTATCATGCACACAACAATTATTAACGACGACGACAACGACGACGACGACAACGACGACGGACAAAATTTTTCCCTTAATATACCTTTCCTTTCCATCTTTGATGGTACGGGCAAGGTAATAAAACGCTAGTGTATATTTCTCCTTCTTCAATACCATATTTGCTCTATTAGAAGTGCATCTCAAAATGAAGTACTTATAAACCAACAATATCGCATTGGCTGGTGACTTTAAATCATCAAAATTATTTTTACATAAAATATATTTTATGTAAGGATTATGTTCTACTAATGGAGCAAATATGGTACTATGGTTTTGCCTTACAACACCTTCACACCTGAATAAGACATGATTCAATTTCAATTCTAGATGACGCTGTTTATGAAAATGTTTAGGATAAATTATGATCACCACATCTCTCCTACACATTCATTCTCAGTAACTCTAAAGCTAAGTATGTCATAAACGATTTGTTTGGAGGTATACTAACTGACATTAATCAAATTGTATCTGAGTATATAAAGTACAATCTCTGCATTGGCTTAAAGGGCAATGGTCGTCAAGCCGCGTCATGTTCGATTTAGCGACGTAAACAAAACATGGAAAACACATCATGAAAATCGAACACATGCTGTGCGACGACTAACAGCTTTAAACCTATATTATGTGTTAATGGTTTGACATTTCATACAAGTTTATTGCTTTGCTAATAAAACATTATGGTTTGAAGTATACAATAGTTACTACATTAAAAATCATAAATGTTTAATATTAGGGAATAGAATAAAGAATTACGCTGCTTTAAAATTGTCACATATAGCTGAAATTGAAAAGACACCTGCACAAGCTGAAAATTGAGAGTTTTTTTTAAGTGCTTTCTCGTATAATAATGAAGATTTTATTAGTTCTACTACTACTGAAGATGAAAAGTTCCCTTTCTATAAATTCTCAAACGCTGATAAGTGAGCGATATTTATTGTCACACATTCACATGCTGGCTGGCAAAAATATTAACATATGACGTCACAATACGACAGCCTATATTTTTACTGATAAAATAAAAGAAAAAAAGGTAATTTCCCTGGATTTCTTGTTCACTGAATCTTCCCTTCAGCGAAAATTAATTCCAAGTGAAAATAAAGTGATTGGCAGTATCTCTGTATATATATATATATACACATACATACTACTAAGTTGCAAAGCGATTGTTGCA